CAGGGCTGCAACATCCAAGAAGGCATAAGCCACGCAAATGGAAGTATTCATAGAAAAGCCAGTTTATGAGTACTGGTTATCTCATGGAAATCAAAGGTTTGGTTTATTTTCTGCTAAAGAATTTACGACCGTTTTATGTATATCTGTTTTACGTTCTTTGTTTATCACTGGCAGTGGTCGTTGTATGTCTAGCTTTATAAAATTATTGGAACTTACATCAGACTTATAATCTTTTTGCCATTGTGACCCTCCCTGAAGCAAAATGTCTCTCTGTCTTCTCTATCTATCTATCTATCTATCTATCTATCTATCTATCTATCTATCTATCTATCTATCTATCTATCTATCTATCTATCTATCTATCTATCTATCTATCTATCTATCTATCTATCTATCTATCTATCTATCTATCTATCTATCTATCTATCTATCTATCTATCTATCTATCTATCTATCTAGCTAGCTAGCTAGCTAGCTAGCTAGCTAGCTATCTATCTATCTATCTATCTATCTATCTATCTATCTATCTATCTATCTATCTATCTATCTATCTATCTATCTATCTATCTATCTATCTATCTATCTATCTATCTATCTATCTATCTATCTATCTATCTATCTATCTATCTATCTATCTATCTATCTATCTATCTATCTATCTATCTATCTATCTATCTATCTATCTATCTATCTATCTATCTATCTGTCTATCTATCTGTCTATCTGTCTGTCTATCTGTCTGTCTGTCTGTCTGTCTGTCTGTCTGTCTGTCTGTCTGTCTGTCTGTCTGTCTGTCTGTCTGTCTGTCTGTCTGTCTGTCTGTCTGTCTGTCTGTCTGTCTGTCTGTCTGTCTGTCTGTCTGTCTGTCTGTCTGTCTGTCTGTCTGTCTGTCTGTCTGTCTGTCTGTAGTTTCTAGCACAGCTCTCTTTCTTGTGCTTGTTGAATTTCACCCCTAGGTTCGTCTTTGGTTTGCTACAGGGGGAGAGATTATAGACGAGGTGAATGATGGGCGATCGTGTCGATAGTGGTAGTGACGATTATAGTCCGGCTTTCTTGATCCATGCGTCTCACCTTTGCTCTATTTAGGCTGTATAATAAAATTGTCTTCTTCTTTGCGTTCACTACCTGTAAACTCCGGCGGAAAGTTCTAGTTGTTCATCCATTTTTGGACTGCAGTCCTGTTCTAGAACCCGAGTGTTGTGTGTGCATCCGTTTTACAAATTTGACTTATTTGTATGCAGACTGGTGGTCCCTTGCCTCTCAAGCAGATGCACTCCGACTTCGAAAGAAGCTTTCAATTAGTTGACTCTTACGACATGCTTTTGAATAGCCAGTGGGTCTATTCTTGTTTTCCCCATACTAGGGCCCCTTAACCTACACGGGGTATAATAAAATGTCTTAAAACAACTTTTTGTGTGTGTTTACCGTCTTTATTGTAATATCTCAATCGCATGACGAATAACGTCAGTCGGTTGATGGTATTAGCAACAAATGAACATGATGGCACAAGGGTAGTAACCCATACGTGTTCTGTTCTAACTAAAGTCTGAGACCAAAGACTCTCAGTGCCGTGCACGAAGTACGAGAATCCTGAACTACTTTGGGTAGATTTTTAACACCTAATTTTGTCCGAACAGCGTTGTTAGGCTACTTTTTTCGATTTCCACCACCCAAGGAATTTTTTTTTAAAACCTATGCAACAATACACACGGGCGACCGATCTTACTACCAAGAAACAGGGACAAATTACAAGAATTCCACGCGAAAAAATGCTAGACTTTACCGGGGTCCTAACCCGAGGCCTTAACCTCTATAGATATATACTCTTGATGTGGCAGTATGTTCTTAATCTCTGGTGACTTTGTTAACTGGTTCAGGTGTCTGTGAACTGCCAGCTAGTTTCTAGTGCTGTCTGATACTAACTGGTTAATTATTGACACTCATCATCTTTCTAATGTTCCTACCAAATTTGTCTATGTTGACAATGTATGTATGTTTCGTGTCTATTGGCTCCGTAATTCGATGTCCCGTTTCATGTTTCCTCTCCTGTGTCTGTTTTGAACTCTCCATGATGCTGGTTGCTCTCCCTTCTAGTGTTGAACTGGCCACTTTACGATTGCAGTTTCTTCCCAATACTTCTCCGCGACTGAAGGTTATTTCTAACTATCAGGGTCCTGTGTGGCTATGGGATGATTGCATACGATGATGATAAATAATGAGCTTGTGATTTAACAAAAGCAACGAAGCAACGGGTTTTCCCGAGAGGGTTGTTCAGTACTGAGCGGTGTGGGAGTTGCTCTTGGGGGGGGGGGGGTGGGAAGGTTGGATCAAAACCGGCTTTAGTTGACAGGCCGTGCTGCTGACGTAACCGTTAACGCGGTGGTTCTAAAACAATAAACAAACTATTTTTGACCGTGGTTAGGAAGGACAACTTAGATTTTTAACTTTCAAGTATCTACATTCCTTCTTTATTAATTTTACTATTTTAGGCGACTTTTCTTGATTGTTTACGTGGCTCGCCTAACATTTGGATAGAGACAGACTTGGGGACAGGGCATTGTTGTTTTGACCGTTAGATGTTTTTATGTTTTGACTTATATTAGCGACAGGTAGCTTCCTGTTAGTGAGTTAGCGTGACGGTAGAATGATTCATGTATTAGTCTGTTAGCATGAGGTAGGTTATATGGGTATTTATAATAGTATTCATTTATGTATTTAGTTAGACGTTAGCGAGGCTGTCCTTGAAGAGTTGATCTGGTTACGTAATATGGTCTGTCCACTCACACTGGCCAAAGACGTGCAGTAGATCAGCGGTCCAAGTGTAAGGCGCAATAGTGTCGGAAAGAGATCTAATGGAATCTGTTGGTTCGGACTTCTTTCTTCTTTGCGTTCACGAGCTGTAAACTCCGGGAGAAAGTTATGGTTGTTCGTCCACTTGTGGACTGCAGTCCTGTTCTAGAACCTGAGTGTTGCGTATGCATCTGTTTGACAAATCTGACACATTTGTGTGCAGACTATTGGTTCTTTGCCTCTCAGGCAGATGCACTCCGACTTTGAATGAAGCTCCCAATTCGTCGACTCTTACGACATGCTTTTGGGTAAGCAGTGGGTCTATTCTTGGTTTCCTTATAATAGAGCCCCGGAACCCACACCAGGACATTTCAGAATATGTACTGCGTGAATAGTACTCAAATTGTTTATTACCTACTATTTATATCTGGTTTAGCAATGCAACAGAATGGTGGTGATTTCTACTGACTAAATGCTCTAAGAAGGTTCTAGCATGCTCAGACTTGTTTACTGTCTATGCTAACATCGTCCCATGTTCTAATTGTGTCTCCTTTGCATCATCTAGTTCTGCACTTAACTACACTAATTATGTCGACAGATGGCCTTCCAGAGTCTCCTAAAGCTTCTAAAAAGCGAGTGCTACTGGGTTCACTTTGATGGGGTACGTCAACAAAATTACACTAAAAATCATTTATATAAATGGGTTATTATATTGCATAATGTTCTTCTGTTAATTAACAAGTAATGGTTCTAGAAAGGGAATGTCACGGTTGCTAAGACTTGCTGAATGTCAGTCTGTTTTAACTATGTGCTATGTCCTGCTACTGATAAACAAGCGATGGTTTCACAAACCACTGAGCTACATGTCTGTCTGTCTGTCTGTCTGTCTGTCTGTCTGTCTGTCTGTCTGTCTGTCTGTCTGTCTGTCTGTCTGTCTGTCTGTCTGTCTGTCTGTCTGTCTGTCTGTCTGTCTGTCTGTCTGTCTGTCTGTCTGTCTGTCTGTCTGTCTGTCTGTCTGTCCGTCTGTCCGTCTGTCTGTCTGTCCGTCCGTCCGTCCGTCCATCTCTCCGTGCCCCTTGCCGTCCATCTGTCTGTCTGTCGATCCGACATTGTTTCACTTTTAGGTCATAACAGTCTGTCTGTACTGTAGATTATACTGGATGCATTAGCAAGCCATTTACGGTGTTTTGTGAGTGGTAAAATTTTTATGAAACAAATGTCAAAGGTATCCCCACTTGAATTAGTGTCACTTTCATGAAACATGTTAAAATCCCCCCCCCTCCCCCTGTTTTAGTGGCAGATTTTTCGACTTTTCCAAGGATAGGACATATTTTGAGAAAACACAAGAACAGTACAACAAAAGTGTCTTAACACTGGAACCCACAGGAGTATAGAGATACAGTCAGACCAAGAAACTTCATCAATGATTCCCAGGACTCCATTTTGCAGAAAAAGCATTTTGTAGGAGGTGATTAATTAAGGGTGTCTCCATCAAAGTCTGAAAGTATCTGACTGGGAGGCAAGCAACCAATAGTCTGCACACAAATAAGCCAGATTAGAAAATGGATGCGCACGCAAAACTCAAATTGTAGATCAAAACCAACATTGAGAAGTGGACGTGAAATCAGAATTTTACGCTGCAGTTTACCGCCGGTGAAAGCGAAGAAAAAGAGGGAGGAGGAGGAGGAGAATAATAATAATAATAATAATAATAATAATAATAATAATAATAATAATAATAATAATAATAATAATAATAATAATAATAATAATAAGAAGAAGAAGAAGAAGAAGAATCGAACGAACGAACGAACAAAATAACGAAAAAAAAAACTTTATTTTCAAAGGGTTAAGTATTGGTCACACAGGCCCGTCTTACATTCTGCCCTTTTGACCTCACTCAGTGCACACATTATTCCAGTCGCACATCGTTTTTTAGCAGATCATAATAATAGACAAAATTAACAACATCTTAGTTACAATGTGCTCCAAATATACCTACATTTTAAAACAATTGTAATACTTAGTATAATACATCTTGTGGGAAATCAACAATATGAAGAAGAAAACCACTGAAAATTGAGCTAGAGAATAAAAAAGTAAAAGCATAGGCAGAACAGGGAAAGAGATGCATGCGATAGCGAGAGGTTACGCTGGCGTTTGCTGGTTGAAGCTCTGTGCTGCTTTAGGGGATGAAGGTTTGAGGAACG